GTACAAATTTTGAGATAAATTCAGTCTGTGATCAGACGGTGAATAAAATAAAAATAAAAAAATAAAATTATTGTTTTCTTTTACCATTTTTCAATAGACATGGAGTACGTTAAAGGAGGGCATCACGCAAATTTACAATCGAGAGCCCAGTCTTACCATGGCTCAGTATATGGATTTATACACGTAAGTTTGAGTTCATTGTCATTAGTACAATACATTCGACCATTTTGAACAAGTAATTAACTCGTATTCTTGAAATTCCTTGCAGGATCGTGTACAATCACTGTACCACCGACACAAAGTCCAAGAAAGATAAGGCTCATAATTCGGAAACAGAAAATAGTAACAAATCAACACTGATTGGTCAAGAACTCTATAGTCGGGTAATGAAGTTTCTTGAGAATTATCTGACCGAGTTGTTGAAGGTATGTAACATTTTTAATTCAGCAATTATTTATTATTTTCACATTGGCAATTTAAACAACGATTGGAAACACTGCAGTTCAGTGGGTAATTGAGAAGGGCGGCGCCACCGTCTATACATACAAATGTCCATTTAAATCAGCGCCATCTATGCTAGACATACTTTTGGTTGAAAAAAAAACGCCATCATATTTCGACATTGAATTTAATATAATGTATTTCGTTTTCGTTCTCAGAGTGGCTCGAATTTGGTCGACGAAGAAGCGGTATTGAAATTCTACACCACAAAATGGAGTGAGTACCGATTCTCCAGTCGTGTATTAAATGGTGTATGTGTTTACCTAAATCGTCAATGGGTGCGTCGCGAATGTGAAGAAGGCCATAAAGGCGTTTTCGAAGTCTATCAGGTGTCATTGATTATATGGCAGGATCATCTTTTCAAACATTTCAACACACAAGTTACAAATGCCGTACTGAAGCTGATCGAACGAGAGCGTAACGGTGAAACGATTGATTCCTGTCTCATTTCTGGTGTAATCAGTAGCTATGTTGAATTGGGGGTAGAAGAAGCATCGCCGAAAGCACGCGGCCAAATTTTGACCGTTTACAAGGAAAGCTTTGAAAATGCCTTTCTACAGGATACCGAACGCTTTTATGCAGCTGAAAGTGCCGAATTTCTTCGGCAAAATCCAGTTACCGAGTACATGAAACGCGTTGAACAACGCTTGAACGAAGAATCAAAACGTGTCCAAGTTTATTTGCACGAAAGCACACTCGTCCGCCTAGGTAAAACTTGTGAACGCGTTCTCATAGAAAAACATCTAAATATTTTTCATACTGAGTTTAGGGTAAGTCAATATCACAACGTTTATTAACAGTTTTTGTTTAAATGTTGTATGCAGAGTATGAGTTTATCTAATAAACACTTGTTCATTCTCAATTTGCAGAATCTTCTGGACTCGAACAAAAATACGGATATGGGACGCATGTACACGCTGGTGTCTCGCATCAGCGGGGGAT